TTTTACAATAAACGATGACCCCCGTTCCCTAACGCCAACGTCTCTGCCGTGTGTTCACTCGCTCGCTGCGCCAACGGAACCAGACCGGCGTTTCTACCGGGCAGAAATTGAACAACAAAAAAAAACGAGAGGTTTGTGGCGAGATCTGGGGTTGCGTGGTCGACTACAGGGAGAGCACAGCCGAGCCGGACTTGCGCAATGGCCTCTGGTGCTTGTGCCAGGCTAGGTGCACTCTACGTCCGTAGGAATCGTTCCAAGGCTCCCGCTGCCAGCAGGAGGTGACGCGACAGGCCTAGGTGCCATGGGATGACCGACTGAGATGACCGGCAGATTCACCACCTGGGTGCTCCCCAACCCTGGTAAATTGTATGGGGCAAGTGCTGTTTGTGAGTAGCACCTATAAAGGCTAGCACCACGCCTCCTTAGCCGCCTTTGTCTTCCCAGTGGCGATGTTTACACACCGCACCAGGTATTCATTGGAAGCCGCATCAAAACGGTCTTGAAACGACGTCCAGTCACCGCCAGCTGCGATGGACGCACAAGCCGCATCCGACGAAGTTTGGACGAGCCGGAGGTGAAAACTGGCATGGGCGCTCCCGAAGACGCGCTCGGTGGCATCGCTGCAACAAAATGGCGCCCGGGTGCTGTGTCGCGGTCAAAATGGCGCCCGGGGGCAAGATGGCGGCTGGAAGCTGCGGCGCGTCTGTTGGAAAATGGCGCCAAGTTCAAGCGTGGCGGGAGGAGAGATGGCGGGAACCGCCCGATCCCGCTCCAAACAAGTGGTGTGTGCGCACGCGGCTGGGCTCCCACCTCGGACATCGTCGTGACGAGACGTGTGGCCGACTGCAGCAGCTGTCCAAACTGGCAAGTTGAGGTGCAGCTTGTTTTCTGGGACAAGAAAGCTGCGCCTACAGTGACGTCACTGCCACTTAGTGGAAAATGGCGGTTGTTGTTGTTGTGTGTGAGCGCGTGTGTGTGAGCGCATGTGTGTGTGTGCCTGTGAATGTGTGTGAGCGTTACAAATGTATGTTTCGACACTTCACGTGGCCTCAAGGTGCACATGGCCTGGCACAAGCGTCGTGGTGACGTCACCGTCACTTAGTGGCGAATGGCGGTTGTTGTTGTGTGAGCGCGTGTCTGTGAGCGCACGTGTGTGTGAGTGTGTGTGAGGCTGTGAGTGTGTGAGCCTGTGTGTGTGAGCGCATGCGTGTGTGCCTGTGAGTGTGTGTGTTCCTGTGAGTGTGTGTGAGCGCGTGTGTGTGAGCGCATGTGTGTGTGCCTGTGAGTGTGTGTGCCTGTGTGTGTGAGCGCATGTGTGTGTGCCTGTATGTGTGTGTGATCGCATGTGTGTGTGCCTGTGAGTGTGTGCGAGCGTTACAAATGTATGTTTCGACACTTCACGTGGTGGCCTCAAGGTGCAGCCCCCTCCTCCTGCATGAGATGGCTGGGCTCCACGGGGCGTTGTCCGAGCTCTCGACAGGTGAGTTCCTACGCCTCGTGGCCGACTTTGACATGGCGACGAGGGTTTGTGGTTACTTCTGACACCAATCGTTGTGATGTAGAACCACTCGGAGACGGGACTTCATGTAAGGGCTTACGCCGTTTATGAAACACTGTTAATACTCACACTCTAAACTCACACCAGAGGTAGGTGTACTCTACACTTGCTCCTTCCCATGGACCCCCCCGAGCTCTACTCGTCCGAACCTCGGCTATCTCTGTGGCTTCTCTCACTCTTCTTCTTGGTTCTTTCGGTAAAGTCATCACGTAGAATTGAAATAATAAAATAATAAAAATAAACCAATAAAATAATTCTCGCGACGTTTCGGCCACAACGCAAGCAACCGTCCTCAGGTGAAGAACAGGTCTGTCAGAAAGACAGCGTCTGAATGAACACCACCAGGCTTGGCAGCGTATATTTAAGCTGGGTTGGAGGGGGAAGAGCGCCTTGACAAAGGAATTTGCTCTTCCCCCTCCAACCCAGCTTAAATATACGCTGCCAAGCCTGGTGGTGTTCATTCAGACACTGTCTTTCTGACAGACCTGTTCTTCACCTGAGGACGGCTGCTTGCGTTGTGGCCGAAACGTCGTAAAAATTATTTTATTATGTTTTATTTGTATTATTTTATTATTTCAATTCTACGTGATGACTTTATCGAAAGAACCAAGAAGATGAATCCCTGCAGTCACGAAAGAAGCTTTAAATCGAAATTCTCTCACTCTGACCGGGATGGCGGCTCATCCAACACGGTCTGGCCGAGGAGAGAAGACTCCCCACTCACTATCAGCCGCCTCTCACAGCCTGCTTCGAGCTCCACTCTCGGCCATCTCTTCGAGACCTCTTCCAGCCGATCCACACGTCACGGGGGGTCCCTCTTAAGTACCCCCTTACAATCCCCGTGACATGACGTCATCCCCCTACTACATGACGTCATCACGCTACTCAACATATATTTAAAAAAACAATACTGATGAAATGCTTTTTCGATTTAAAGATTTCGTGACTGCAGGGATTCATATTATTGGTTCTGTCGGTAAAATCACGTAGAAGGGAAATAATAAAAATATGAAACAATAAAATTCTCACAGTAATTTTATTGTTTATATTTTTATTATAATAATAAAATAATAAAAATATTAAACAATAAAATTCTCACCCTAATTTTATTGTTTATATTTTTATAATAATAATTAAATAATAAAAATTCAACAATTACATTCTCACGACAGCTGTGGTTTTCACACCTGATGATGATTGCTTGTGTTGCAATCGAAATGTCGTGAGAATTTTATTGTTTTATTTACATTATTTCCCTTCTACGTGGCTTTACCAAGAATATGATGAAACGAGCTTGTTTGCCCGTCCTAGGACGGAAGCTGTAATATTTACGAAACATTTTAGCAGAGTATAATTGTATCTTGTGTAAATTTAATAGCAGTGAATCTTGCACAAAACGAAGTCATAAAACACTTCACTGCAGTTCACTGTAGCACTGTATTAAATGCAGTGAATCTTGCACAAAACGAAGTCATAAAACACCTCACTTCATGTCACTGTAGCGCTGTATAGAACTGACATTCAAATTCACTGCTCTGATACTTTATTATCTTCTGCTTTCGGTCGCTGGGGTTGAAATAAATTGGAAATCAATAGAATATCTGGAAAATCACCGAGAAATGTCTATTTTAGCATAATGTAGAAGCATAAATTAGACTTACCTTGTGTCTCAAATGCTGAAGAAATAAATAAAGACACCAAATCCACTTTGTTGCCAAATATAATTATTTATTAGAATCATTTTCAATAAAGAAACGTCCAACTTAAAGCGAATTTGTGAAAAAATAAATGTCCGCCTCGACCTTCTGTGCGAGTGTAAAAATCCACCCGCTGCCTCGGCATGTGGAGTGACGTCACGCGCGTTACACACAGACATGCTTGGCTCATTGCAGTAGCAATAACAGATCGAGGTCTACAACCTGCGGCTCTTCATAAGGACTGCTGCTTTGCGACGCATCATCTACTAAGCACCACCGTCTCCTGTTCACCACGCAGCGCATTGCGGCTCTTGAAAAATAGACTTTTTTTCCTGGACCGATTTTTTTACAACGAAGAATGTCTGTTATTGCTATACGGGTTACCCACCCCTGTTCTATACCTATCTTGCAGGATGGCATAGTGGTAGAGTGTGCTACTTGCATCAGAGGATGTCAATTCAAACTGAGGGTTGACTGAGCCCTCTGGTGTAGATAACGTGTGGACCACTTTCTGGGAAAGTGATTGCCCTCTGGAATTCCTTGCCCCCGCCATAGGAATGTAGAATTTCCTCCGCGTCCTCTGGGCTGTTAAACGGGAGATGAGCATCACTCGTTTATGAGCGAAGCCACTTTCACTCTCGGCGTTTTCATGTTTTTTTTTCATTTGGTTCGCTGCCCGACCGGCTGTCCAAGTTCTCGCTGTCGTTCAAGGCACTTCATGATAATTATGAATTTGTACGTAACTTAGTGGTTGTGATAAAGAGTGAAGTTATTAAAAGTGGTGGTGTTGCTATGGTGACAGTAACACAGATGGGAGTGGTTAAGGGTTTTGAGGTGGTGATATGGGGAGTGGTCGGGGTAGTGATAGTGGTAGTGATAGGGGTAGTGATAGTGATAGGGGTAGTGATATGGGTAGTGGTAGGGGTAGTGATAGGGGTAGTGATAGTGGTAGTTATAGTGATAATAAAAATGAAACACAAAATACAATTCTCACGACGTTTTGGCCACAACGCAAGCAGCCGTCCTCAGGTGAAGAACAGGGCTGTCGGGAAGACAGCGTCTGAATGAAACACCACCAGGCTTGGAGCGTCTATTACCGAAAGAACCAAGAAGATGAATCCCTGCAGTCACGAAAGCTTTAAATCGACAAACAAAAACAAGTTTTACATGTTGTAATACGCGAGTCGAGAAAGTCGAAGGAAGAAAATAAAATACACATATAGGTGCACTTCAAACATTCAAGCTGTTACATTTACCGTTCGTATTTTTCTACAATCAGCTTTAGCGTTACTGACACTTCGTTTTTTTACATTTGCCCTTGTTGTTTAGATGTAGAATGTGAAGCCGAGAGCCTTGTGCCCTTTCGTGTGCAAAGTCGGCCAAATCACAGGAGGATCGGTCTCAAAATGACGACGCGATGATAGATAACAAATCTACGCACGCTGACGATAGGTGCAACTTGAAAGGCGGCTCGGCGAAACGCCATCGTCACATCCGTTGCATGAACGTCACCATCAAAGCAGTCTCGTTCCCCCTTCCGCCCTTGAGATGCGCGAAGCTTCAAAGCTCGGAAACACGTCCTCTTAGCACAACGATATCTGAAAATGCGTGGACTTTACAAACGTAAACATTCGTTTACCGTTAAACTAATTGGCGATACTTCTCATCATTTCCAAACCTGCCCTCTCCGCGTCTCTATCTTTCGCCGGACCCGGCGTTTCCGAAGGTGGTCACCGACCCGGCGGCTACGAGATGATGCAGTTCTTATTCCTGCGCCGGCTCTGCTGCTTCCTCGACATCGCTGGCATCGTGATGAAGTGTGGTGACCGCCCGCCGTACCCCACCGTCCCCGCCACCGTCCCCGCCGCCATCGCCGCGGCATCACCGCCGCCGCCCTCGCGGCACCGCAGCGACAGCACGAGCACGGTGCGCGGGATCGGCTGCCCCAGGAAGAACCCGTCGTCGTCCGAGTCCGACGAGGAAGACGAGGAGCAGGTGGAGCACCAGTCGTCCGAACTGTCGTCCCGCCCGTCGTCCGGGTCGAGCGCCAAGTCGTCCGGCGCGTAGACGGAGCGCGGCGGCGCCTGCGGGTGGCCGCCCCGCGCCCCCACGTCCATCTCGGACTTGCGCCGCGTCAGCCGCTCGCAGTCCTCGTGCGCGCGTGCCCCCGGCTCGTCCTCGAAGCGGCGCCGGCTCCGTTCCACGGCCGCGGGCTCGTGCAGCGCGTTCTCCGAGCGCGAGCTCCGCGGCTCGCGTGAGCGATGGTAACGCCGCCGCCGCCGGCTGCGGTGGCGGGGTCGCTCGCTCGGTTCCAACTGCGCGAGGAAGCGCGGCTGCGACTGGGAGCGGAGCGCACGGTCGCAGCCATGGAGGGGAGCCGGCTGGGAGGGGCGGCCCCGCTCGTGCTCGGAGGGGCGCCGGCTCCAGCGGAGGCCGGAGCGCGACTCGGCGCTGCGGCAGCGAGAGGCGGAGGCGAGGGGGCCCGCCGCGCTGAGATTCTCCGCCGAGCCGAGGCCGCACCCGCCGCCGACGGACTTGGACGGCTGGTCGGGCGATTTGCCGTCAGTGTCCACCGAGAGGCCTGGTGACGTTAGAAAAAATGTAAAGGAAAAGGGTTTAATTAAAAAAAAAATGTACACGTGTTAATAAAAGGAGAGCTGCAAAACTGTCAGTATTCTTGCATCGGCTGCGTACACCGCTGTGATTTTTATGGACGATATGAATTTGAAATCGTCAGCCCCTTCTCTTCAGACAGGGGCGCGTGTTTGAGCACACATCGCCGCAGCCTGTCAGTGCAGGTTGATGAAAGGGAGGCAAGAAGGTGATGTAAACAACACGTAAACACTAACGATGCCAGGCAGGAAAACTACACAAACCATAAACAGCACATACCTACAAGCATAAACAACAACGCAAGTTGGCCAGATTGGGCCACGTAGTGACACGCCACGTACGATGTTGCTATGCGCTTAAATCACCAAACACATCAGCTGTCCTGACAGAACGACTGGCTGTTGACCGAATGACTGACTGACTGACTGAGTGACTTACCGACTGACTGACTGAGTGACTGACTGACTGAGTGACTGACTTACCGACTGACTGAATTACCGACTGACTGAGTGACTGACTTACCGACTGAGTGACTGACTTACCGACTGAGTGACTGACTTACCGACTGACTGACCGAGTGACTGAGTGACTGACTTACCGACTGAGTGACTGACTTACTGACTGACTGACTGAGTGACTGACTGAGTGACTGACTGAGTGACTGACTGACCGATTGACTGAGTGACTGACTGAGTGACTGACTGAGTGACTGACTGACTGACTTAGTGACTGAGTGACTGACTTATCGACTGACTGACTTACCGACTGACTGACTGAGTGAGTGACTGACTGAGTGACTGACTGAGTGACTGACTTACCGACTGAGTGACTGACTTATCGACTGACTGACTGACTTACCGACTGACTGACTGAGTGACTGACTGAGTGACTGAGTGACTGACTGAGTGACTGAGTGACTGACTGACTGAGTGACTGACTGAGTGACTGACTGAGTGACTGACTGACTGACCGAGTGACTGAGTGACTGACTGACTGAGTGACTGACTGAGTGACTGACTGACTTATCGACTGACTGACTGACTGACTTACCGACTGACTGACTGACTGAGTGACTGACTGACTGAGTGATTGACTGACTGAGTGACTGACTTACCGACTGAGTGACTGACTTACCGACTGACTGACTGAGTGACTGACTGACTGAGTGACTGACTTACCAACTGACTTACCGACTGACTGACTGAGTGACTGACTGACCGACTGACTGACTTACCGACTGACTGACTGAGTGACTGACTGACTGAGTGACTGAGTGAATGAGACGAATCGGCACGGTATGACGCCTGATCCCGCTGACGTGACGCCTTGACGACAGCGGCGGCGGCGTCTCTTAAAGCGCCAGAAAAATCGGCGAGAGCCAAAAAAGACGACAGCGTTCTGCCGTGGTCAACAAGACTAGATCTGCTGCCGACAACCCATTTGGAATCGACCGATCAGCCGACCGATCAGAGATATGTCTGAATCGGTCCCAGGGAACCTCTCCCTACCTGCAACCAAGCTGCGCTGACCAACGCGGTGAAGTGTGACCGGCACGGCGTGGAGATCGGTATTGGATTGATTAGTGGATGTAAAATGCCAAGAGTTGTTAAGAGGCTAAATGTCCAGCCCTTTTGTAAATCCACTGCTGGATGAAGCCCCCCCCCCCCTCCCTGCCGTGCTGGTCATGGGGGCGACGTGAATCTGAATCGTGATGTAGAGTGTGACATGGATATTCATCGTTTCGCTGTCCCGAGCGTCTCTCGCGAAGCATTCTTCTCGATCAAAACCACTCCCGTTCCTTGGCACGCGGCGGTGCGTCGCACAAACGCACGCCCACCGAGAATCGACCCGCCCACCCAGGCCCACCTTCCCGCGCACACCTCGCGACCGCGAGAGCGGCCGTCGCCAACTTAAAAAGGAAGCGAACGAACACACCCTAGATATTCCCTTTCGCCCCTAGCCCAACCGCGTCGGCGACGACTAAGGCGCACGTGCATTGTCACGTGCGCGCTCGTCAAACGCGTGACGCGGTTTCTCTCGGGCGGCTCTGTTGACCGTCGCACACATTGCCCAGTGCTCATCTGACATCCGTGCCGACTTTGTACTTAGCCCATCTCTACCCGAGCGTGACGATGCTCTCACGTGATGGCTGTTACTTACAGCCGACAGGAAGAGCTTGGCCAGTGGAGGAAGGGGAAAGAGAAAGAAAACAAAACCCCCAGTGAACATCGCTCACCGGTGCTGTCGGAGTCATGCGGCGACGCCCATCCCACGTCTATCAGCCCCCGCACGGCCACGCCGAGCCGCGAATGTTGCCGCGGCTCCCTGCCGCTGAAGGCCGCCGCCGCCGCAGCCCCCTCGCGACATCCCTCATGGACGCACGACCCCGGCGAAGGAGACGGCGGGAAACTCATCTCGTCCGCTGCCTCGCGGGCGGCCTGCCGGACGCCGCCGCCGCCGCCCCGGGGGCCATCTTGTGTCCGCTGCCGGCTCTTGGGAAGGCCGTACGGAGGGTGGTCGCGGTCGACCGGCGGGTTGCCGCCGGCGCCTCCCATCGCCGCCTCGGGGGAGCTCCTCCCGCAGCCAAACGTCACCGAGCGCCGCGTCGGGAAAGCCCGGGGCTTCTTCGGAGTCTGGTCCGGCTCGTACGCCGACATCACGGCAGCAGCCGCGCCGGCGGCGCCTCGCGATGACGACTCGGCATAGCCGCGGAATCCCGGCACGCGCTCGGCGCGTTTGCCGTCGGCGCCGGCAGCCGCGCGAATTTGACGGCCGGGCTCGTGCCGGCGCGGTCCGTAGGCGGCACGCGGAGAGAGCAGAAGGGGGGGAGGATGCGGGCGATGCAAATTGCCACTAAAGTTTCAATCGTATCGCGTTGTCTTAGCAAGAGTTGTCGTGTTCGCCGCCACCTGCAACCCACCCCCCCCTCCCCAGTTATAGACAGCCAGACAGTACAGAGCCAGTGCATTGACACTGCATTTACAACGTGAGATTCAACACGTCCGTAATGCAGCCTCACTGTGGCTCTGTGGAAGGAGGAGGAGGAACGCCAACACGACGCAAACTCTCTCTCTGCTGAAGCCCTCTCCTCGTGACCAGCAGCAGCAGCACCATCAGGACCTCCTCGACATCGGACAGACTGCCACCATCAAGGGCAAGCACGGCACCGTTACAAAAACAACGAAGCGAGCGCCGCAGAGACAGGGGGGGGGGGGGTGGGGGGGGGCAAGCGGCACGGCTGGCGAGCCGAACGTGCCCACGGCGATGCCGCTTACTGACTGAGTGACTGACTGACTGAGTGACTTACCGACTGACTGACTGAGTGACTGACAGACTGAGTGACTTACCGACTGACTGACTGAGTGACTGACTGACTGAGTGACTTACCGACTGACTGACTGACTGAGTGACTTACCGACTGACTGACTGAGTGACTGACTGACTGACTGAGTGACTTACCGACTGACTGACTGAGTGACTGACTGACTGACTGAGTGACTTACCGACTGACTGACTGAGTGACTGACTGACTGAGTGACTTACCGACTGACTGACTGAGTGACTGACTGAGTGACTGACTGACTGAGTGACCGAATTTCAAGCCGGAATGACCGTACACGCGGCAGCGCGGCTCCTCCGCCGGCGTCTGCGGCCCCCTCACCGATGTGCCGGTGGCGGCTCCGGCACGCCGCCGCCGCCGCGTGCTGCGCCCGCAGGCACGGGCAGCAGAAGGGGCGCCCGTGCTCCATGACGTAGCTCCGTCCGCCCAGCGCCACGTGGCACTGGGCGCAGCTGAAGTGGCGCGTGTGCCAGTGGCGGCCCTCCGCCTCCGTGCACTCGTCCGCAAAGATGATCTGGGTTTCGGAGGGGTCGGGGTGGAGAGGGGAGCGGACGTGGGTGTTAACGCTCGAGACGCTGTCGGAGTAAGGCTGAGGCACCCCCCCCCCCCGCCCCGCCCCGAAGGTCCGTACGGTTCATAATTTCTTGAGACGGAACATTCTGGCGAATTGCCCGATGATGCTGGATGCAATTACCAGCGAAACGTCACAGTGCTGCTAATCCTGCATAATGCACGGGCATATGTAGTACTAATCACATTCCTGCATTTCCCATATCCCCTCCCTTTGATGCTGCTAGTCCTGCATAATGCACGGGCATAAGTAGTACTAATCACATACCTGCATTTCCCATATCCCCTCCCTTTGATGCTGATAGTCCTGCATAATGCACGGGCATAAGTAGTACTAATCACACACCTGCATTTCCCATATCCCCTCCCTTTGATGTTGCTAGTCCTGCATAATGCACGGGTATAATTAGTACTAATCACATACCTGCATTTACCATATCCCCTCCCTTTGATGCTGCTAATCCTGCATAATGCACGGGCATAATTAGTACTAATCACATTCCTGCATTTCCCATATCCCCTCCCTTTGATATTGCTAGTCCTGCATAATGCACGGGCATATGCAGTACTAATCACATACCTGCATTTCCCATATCCCCTCCCTTTGATGCTGCTAATCCTGCATAATGCACGGGCATATGTAGTACTAATCACATTCCTGCATTTCCCATATCCCCTCCCTTTGATGCTGCTAGTCCTGCATAATGCACGGGCATATGTAGTACTAATCACATACCTGCATTTCCCATATCCCCTCCCTTTGATGCTGCTAGTCCTGCATAATGCACGGGCATAAGTAGTACTAATCACATACCTGCATTTCCCATATCCCCTCCCTTTGATGCTGCTAATCCTGCATGATGCACGGGCATATGTAGTACTAATAACATTCCTGCATTTTCCATAAATATGCTAAATTCCTCTTGATATGCAAATTATTTTGTCGAAGCGCCCTTTCCCCCCCTCCCAACCCAGCTTATATATATGCTCCAAGCTCGTGTGCTGTTTCATTCAGACGCTGTCTCCCCGACAGACCTGGTTTCACCTGAGGACGGCTGCTTGCGTTGTGGCCGAAACGTCGTGAGAATTATTTTATTATGTTTTATTTTTATTATTGTATTATTTCCCTTCTACGTGATGACTTTACCGAAAGAACCAAGAAGAAGAAGTGCTACTCAAATTGTAAATGTTGTGGTTTCACGCTTCAACACACCGGTGGGCTAAAGCAGTGGACTATTTTGTCTTTTGTCAACGTGACACTTTTTTGCTGATTGGCCGTGTCGGGTGGTGGAGGGTTACGACACATTTATAAATAACGCGATCTAAACCCAACAATGTTGATTATGAATAATATTGGTCGCGAAAGCCTGCTACGTGTTAAAGGGTTCAGTGTTATTTGGTGTAAATCTAGACAGTAACTCAATCAGGTGAGGCAGCCCCCCCCCACCGTTCGAATTATAGAATGCTACCGAAATGGACAGGAGGGATATAATAGACACAACGGCATGAAGATATTGTGAGAAAAGAAAGGAAATCAACGGAGACAAACTTTATGGGATTCAGTGGGGTGAGAGAAATGCTGATGGGGTAGACATCAGACAAGATGGCTTGGATTGTTGTATTCATCGTCTTGTGTTGCAGATATCAGGATTTGAACATGGAGCTGACAATTAAATATATATATTTCATAATTTCTAGAGACGGAACATTTCGCATGCGAGGGTGTCCAAGCGAATTGTGCGCACGTTTGATGCCCTGAGCTTTATGCCCTGCGGCGACGCCACTGGGAGCGCAGATTACATGCTAGAGGCCGGGCTCGTGACGCCTGAAAGGGCTCGCTGGTCTACTCGGGGACCCAAGTGGTGCCGGCAGGTAGCGGTGGGGGCGGTGTGGGGGGTGGGGGGGGTGGGGGGTGGGGGTGGGGGGGGTGGGGGGGGTGGGGGGGGTGGGGGGGCGGTGGGGGGGGTGGGGGGCGGTGTGGGGGCGGTGTGGGGGGTAGGGGGGGTGGGGGGTGAGGGGGCGGTGTGGGGGCGGTGTGTGGGGGGCGGTGTGTGTGGGGGGCGGTGTGTGTGGGGGGGGTGTGTGGGGGGCGGTGTGTGTGGGGGGGTGTGTGGGGGCGGTGTGTGGGGGGTGGTGTGGGGGGGGCGGTGTGTGGGGGGCGGTGTGTGTGGGGGGTGTGTGGGGGCGGTGTGTGTGGGGGGTGTGTGGGGGCAGTGTGTGTGGGGGGTGGTGTGGGGGCGGTGTGTGTGGGGGGTGTGTGGGGGCGGTGTGTGTGGGGGCGGTGTGTGGGGCCGGTGTGTGGGGGGCGGTGTGGGGGGGGCGGTGTGTGGGGGGCGGTGTGTGTGGGGGGTGTGTGGGGGCGGTGTGTGTGGTGTGTGTGGGGGGGGCGGTGTGTGGGGGGCGGTGGGGCCATCGTCACGACCGCAATCGCCACCGCTGCTCCGCCTCACCTCGTCACACGCGCCGCAGCGCGGCTTGAAGCGCTCGTCGTGGTGCCGCCCGCAGTAGAGCTTCCCGTCCGCCAAGAAGTAGATGAGGTCTACGAGGAGCTCCCGGCACGCGGCGCACACGAAGCAGGCGGGGTGGTGCCAGCACGGGGGGTGCCCCGCACGCGACGCGAACACCGCCACCTCGCCTCCGGCGATGCCGCCGCCGCACTGCGGAGAGAATGGGCGCGGGGAGCGGAGGAGGGGAACGCGGAGGATTTGCTCGTGAGTCTAGAGAAGCGCTCTCGCTTGCTCGCTCGCCCTCTCCTCCCCGCGACGACCGGTCGCTGCACGGGCGCCGTGAGCGTTGGCGCGGTTGCCCGCTGCGTTTTCCGGGTTGTGCCCGTGGGGGTGGGGGGTGGGGAGGAGGGGGGGACAGGCGGTCAGTCGTGGCGGGGATCGACAGAGGGCCTTGACTGCCGAAGCGGAGAGCGTGCGCGGAGGGGAGTAGCGCGGGCCGAGAGGGGGAGAGGTAAAGAGTGCAGGGGAGTAGCGTGAGAGGAGGGGCCGGGGGGCAAGTCCACCGAGCACGTAGATCTCTCTTCTCCGCCACCGCCGCTGCCGCCCACCCCCCCCCCATCGCGGCGCAGCGGCGTAGAGCATGGCAGCGCGTACGTTGCTGCCGAGTCGGGGGGGGGGGGGGGACCGGTGGTCAAAAGCACTCGTTGTCCTGGAGGACCCGGCAAAACAAGCCCAGTGCCAGCGAGCGAAGGAGTATCATCATCATCATCAACATGTTGGGAGTATAAGACACCCCAGAATGTAATACGTGCCCCCAAACTTGTGCCCGGCGTCAATAAAGTTATATAGATTAGGTCACACGCAGACACCTACCGGATTGAAAGATGCACCCCCAACTTTTGTGCGACCCATCATATCTGGATTCCAATGGAATGGCGCCCGACTCGCATAACGGACACCTCGGTCGAGACCCAAACATCACAACCTCCTGACGGCTTTCATATTCCTCTTTCTCAACACACATTGGTGTGCCCGTTAACCACGTCAGCACATCAGCAGGCCAATGCAGGCCCCGGCAGTGCGATTGTGGCAATGCAAATCGCGCGGCCTGGACACGTTACCTGCTCGCACGTCGCGCCCTCCAGGGTCGTGACGGGGAAGGTCTTGACGGCTCCCAGGCCGAGCGCCTCGCGCCTGCGCCAAGCGCTGAACTGCTTCAGCTCCTGCTTCTCCTCCTCGCCCAGAGAGCTGCAGTACCCCACCTGCGCCGACATCGCCACCGCCGTTTAACGTCAACGACACCGAAAAGGAATGTTCCGCTACGATCGTCAGCAACGCCGTCGCCGACGGATGTCGCCCATCGACAACAAGGCCATCAATGGGCACCATCGACGCCACCACCATCACGTCCATCAGTGACACCGTCAAAAACACCAAAGGCATGAACGCCACCGATAACTACGACACCTCCACCACCGACAACGAACTACCAATGACAACCTCACGACAACTAGCTATGTACGATGCGACAGAAGTTGAACACCATTCCAAGCGCGGCCACCAAAATTCACGCAAAGATGGATTCGAGGATCCACCTATGAACCGCCATTTTCTGTCACTCTACAACCCTGACTGACGTTGATGCCCCTTAAATACACGCCTGCCCTAACATCTCCGCATGACAAACCAATTAAATAACGCACGTCCCCCATTATGGGGGGGAAATCCTCAGGTGGCACTTAGAAAACTCAATTACACTTGCAGGCGATATGAGCAAGAGGCATCCACCACAAGCATCCCTGTGAGGCCTACACAGGATGCTGGGGCAAAGTGGCATTCGCCTGCACCTATTACGGGGAGGTGGTGTGGCCAAGCATCAAGCCCGGGTCACCTTTGTCTCCTCAGTGGCGATGTTTACACACCGCACCAGGTACTCATTTGAGGCCGAGTCGACCTAGGAGAGGCCCACGACGGGTTCAGATAAATGTCACTGGTGTTGGCGGAATCGAACCCGGGTCGCCAGGTTCATCGCACAGTGTGCTAACCGTTACACGACCGCTCATCATATACACACCACCTACACCCACACGCACGCAAACATACGCACGCACACACACCACCCACGCACACACACCATGCACGTACGCACGCACACACACCACCCACGCCCACACACCATACACGTACGCACGCACACACACCACCCACGCACACACACCATACACGCACACACACACACCACCCACGCACACACCACCCACGCACACACAGCATAAACGTACGCACGCACACACACCTCCAACGCACACACACCACCCACGTACGCACGCACACACACCATCCACGCACACACACCATACACATACGCACGCACACACACCACCCACGCACACACACCATACACGTATGCACGCACACACACCACCCACGCACACACACCATGCACGTACGCACGCACACACACCACCCACGCACACACACCATACACATACGCACGCACACACACCACCCACGCACACACACCATACACGTACGCACGCACACACACCACCCACGCACACACACCATGCACGTACGCACACACACACACCACCCACGCACACACACCATGCACGTATGCACACACACACACCACCCACGCACACACACCATACACGTACACACGCACACACACCACCCACGCTTACACACCATGCACGTACGCACACACACCACCCACCCACGCACACACACCACCCACGCACACACACCACCCACGCACACACACCACCCATGCACACACACCATACATGGACGCACACACACACCACCCACGCACACACACCACCCACGCATACACACCACCCACGTACGCACGCACACACACCACCCACGCACACACACCATACACGTACGCACGCACACACACCACCCACGCACACACACCATACACGTACGCACGCACACACACCACCCACGCACACACACCACCCACGTACACACACCATACACGTACGCACACACACCACCCACACACACACACCATACACATACGCACGCACACACACCACGAACGCAGGCACGTGGCATCATGCGGCCTGGCAATCGGCCGGATTGCAGATCTCCCACCTGCATGAAGCGACACGCCCTTCGTGCGAGGCATCTGGCTTCATCGTCATCAGCAGCAGCAGCTCAGAAATGTACTTTCGCTGAAGAAAAATCATTTGGCTAAGACTGCAGGATTGTCATTCCACGCGAGCGTGGGAGGGAACGCCGTGCATGTCGTGCCGCCCCCCCCCCCCCGACTCCCGGGGGACCGTCACCTGGTCGTCGGGCGGCGGCAGCTGGCGCAGCAGCTGCTCCATGCGGTACTTCTCTCCGGGGCTGTTGACGTACGGCACGCGCTCCTCGGGCAGGCAGCGGAAATAGCGGTGGACCTGCGACGGTCATCGTCAAAAACAGGGAAGGGTTGTTTAGTTAACGTCTATTTTGTTGTTAAATGCAGGCAAACGAACAAGATGGCGTGGGAGCAGATTCCAGGTGGTGGATTCTGGTGTCCGTGTATATCCGCACAAGTCAGTCCGCTCAAGGGTTTGCGCTCAAGCACAGCGTTATTTCTATGCATGTATATGCATACAAAGGGCTGGGCAGTAGCGAGAACGCGACGATGAAGGGCGGCCGCAGAAGGCAGGAAGCTACCTGCTCGGGCTCGAGTCCTGGCGGGACCCACGTGTACTCCTCAAGGGCGCGGCACGGGTCGTCGTCGTCGGAGACGGAGTTGCGCTGCATCTCGTGCGCCACCTTGCCCACCGCCTTCTCCATCGTCGCGCCGCCCGCAGCGTCGCCGCCCTCCTCCCTACGCGGGCGACAGCGGACGCACGCGGGGGGGGTTCAGCTTCGACGTTGGCACGCGGCTCGGCACGCCGGCCGCATGCGAGCTTGTGCAAGGGAGCCGCGGTGAACCCGCGAGGGGCCCCCAGGCCCGAGCAGGCGAGGGGCTCCCGCAGCTTCATCCCGCACGGACGGCCCCGTGGACATGTGTGGCCTGCCGCTCTTGGGACGGCCCGCAAAACGATACTTATCCATCAGCGGCTGCTGCAGGGGAAGGTTTCCACTGCAAAGGGCACATTTTGGTTGCATAGACGATCGGGGTGCCGTGCGTTGGTCTGCCATGCCAGTCGAGTCGCCCTTGGAGGAGAGTTTCTTCGCTAAACGGGCTTGATTCGATTTCGATTTAAAGCTTTCGTGACTGCAGGGATTCATCTTCTTGGTTCTGTCGGTAAAATCACGTAGAATGGAAATAATAAAATAGTAAACATAATTCTGTTTCAACAGACCTGTTCTTCACCTGAGGACGGCTGCTTGCGTTGTGGCCGAAACGTCGTGAGAATTATTTTATTATATTTTATTATTTTATTACTTCCATTCTACGTGACTTTACCGAAAGAACCAAGAAGATGGGCTTGATTCGGTTAATGTGTGGCCCTCCAAAGGTATATGTAGTACTAGCTTTACTACCCGGCTTCGCCCGAGACTTGGATTCTTGTCTTGGATTAATACACGGCCTAAGCGGAGAGTTGGGGGGGGGATGCGTGACGTCGGAAGGCACACTGCATGACGCTGCCACATGCGGGTGACATGACAGATGTGACGTCACCGCTCACTTGCCATGCAAAATATATCCATTATTGCGCCCCCCAAAATACAAAAGTCTATTTTTATACTTTTTGTATTGTGTACAGTCTGGAAGCTACCCACGTGCCAAATGTCAAGTTTGTTGAATGTTGGGAAGTATGCTAAACATTTTGAACAGGCACACATTCACAAGTAATGAAAAGGGTTCCTCACCCCTGGTTCGTTGTACTTCCCCCGCACCTCCGATTAGCACGGTTGGCGACGTAGGGTGCGAAAGAAGTTCAACATACATACAGCACATACAAGACCACCGCACATATGGGTTTAGTATGCTGATCAAGTGGGTTTAACAAGTAGATCGCATCGGTGTCGCACACACCAATCGAATGGGGTTTAGACCACCGGTTGTTTAACACAAAGATTCCAAAGGATTTAATAATCAATGACATGGGTTCAACAAATCCTTTGCTTGGGTTTAGTATCACGATCAGGTGGACTTAAACCAACAGTCGCTTGTGTTTTACCCAACCGGCAACGTCATTTTAAAACAATTTACAATTTGGGTGTGAGCGTGTCATGGTTCCTTCTGTTATACATTCCAATCATGTGCAATGAATCCACTAATTCCATTTTTATCTCTGTAATTACAATGTTGTTTTCTTGCATAATTTCACGTGAACACATTTGGGCCGTGAGGATTTGCAGGGGTTGGTGTTAGACCCCAGATTATGAACCAAAAACTATTTTTTGGTTTTACCAGGTACGGCCCACAGAGCTATATAGCTCTTTTTCAGAAGCGACTTGGCCACAAATGAAAGCTCAACAAAGTGGCTTATTGCGTGGAAATGCATAGCAGCCAAATACTTCTAAATGTGGAGGAGAAAAACCGGAGGACCCGGATAAAAGTGCACGTGACCACGGGGCGAGATGGAGAGACACGCAAACTCCAAATATACAGCAGGTGTCAGGGTCGGGATCGAATACAGGACATCCTGCGTACCAGGCGAGGGAGTTAACATTTCTCGACACAGCCTCCAAATGAACCCCGCGTCAGGTGGAGCGAGCTGTGGGCAGTGTTCAGCAGACAAGAGGCGAGCCGGCATCATGGATTATCCATGAATCCCTGGCACAGCTCCCAGCCACACGGGGAGGCTTCAGAGTTAGCTCTGCACTACAGCTGGCCTTGATGAGCCAGAGGTTGAACAAAGGTGGCAGGGACCGGGGGGATGTGCGGTGTTTCGCTGGTGATACGATAGCTGCTGGGAGGCGGGGGGGTCAGAGGCTGGGGATATAACACACACACACACTGATATACAGTATAACACACACACTAATATACAGTGTAACACACACACACACTAATATACAGTGTAACACACTAATATACAGTATTACTCTTTGGTTCTTTCGGTAAAGTCACGTATAAAGATAAAATAATAAATTTAATACTAGCATACGACGTTTCGATTACAACACAAGAAATCGTCATCAGGTATAAATGGAATAGAAACACAAATCTATTATACTTAGAAATGTAATGTAATACAACAGAGAGTCGGATAACATAACAGTCAACACCCTACCTGGTTGATTACGTTCTTCCTGAGAATGCTACATTTGAGAGAGAGATGAAAATACAGAACCAGAGACATATAGACAGACATATAAGCAGAGACAGATATCACAGAGATACATAGAAAGAGACAACACAGAGACACACAGAGACACAAAGTGAGAGACGCACAACATAGACACACAGACAGACACATAAGTAGAGACAGACATCACAGAGATACATAGAGAGAGACACACAGAGACACACACAGAGAGAGACACAACATAGACACACAGACAGACATGTAAGCAGAGACAGATATCACAGATACAAAGAGAGACAGAGAGACGTACATAGGCACACATGCCAATGTGAGCCGCCAAAGTAATTCTCCTCACCCGAGAGCGCCGTCGAAGGAGAAGAATCGTGAAGCTCTCTCCTCCTCCTTTTCCTCCACCTCTTCCTCCTCCTCTTCCTCCACCTCCTCCACCTCCTCCTCCACCTCCTCCACCTACTCCACCTTCTCCTCGTCGTTTTCGTCGGTGCTCAGCTGTTGATGATGCTGCTGCTGCTGATGATGCTGCTGATGCTGCTGCTGCTGATGATGATGCTGCTGATGATGATGCTGCTGCTGATGATGATGCTGCTGCTGCTTGGCGGACTTCTCTCTCGTTTAAAGCGATCGCGACATTCCACGGGGTGAGGAGGGGGAGGAGGGAGGGGCGCCCTCGCTCCGTGATCCAGAGGAGACACTTCCACGACTCACGAGATGATTAACGAAACGCCTCGCGAGCAATGGGCGTGAGTCAGTGCGTGCTGCTCGTCTAACAAATGTCTATCAAGTGTTGACTTTACCGAAAGAGCCAAAGAGTAAATGTATACCAATCGGCGAAGGCTCCAATAAATTCGTGGGCAAGATTCTGTGGTCAAAAGAAAGATTTTAATACAGTAGTATACCTGTGAGTGTGTAGATTCGTAACATTATAGACCCGGCGACCCGAGTTCGATTTCCACGAGAATCGCTACGGCAGTCGCTGCCCCCCCCCCCCACACACACAGGATACAGACAAAGATCCCCCGTGTAGCCTGTGAGACTGTAGGGGGCAAGTGCTGTTAGCGAGCACCTGTGAAGGCCGGCACAGCACAGGAGGGGGTGGGTGGCCAGCACCACGCCCGGCCGCCTTTGTCTCCCCAGTGGCGATGTTCGCACAGCACACCAGTTACTCGTTTGAGGCTGAGTCGACCTAGGGGAGGCCCAGGACCGGTTCAATATAATCGTCACTGGTGGTGGCCGTGAGCGGGAATCGAACTCGGGGCGCCGGGTCCGTAGCGCAGCGTAGCGCTGACCGCTGCACCACCGCTCCAAAGATCCCCCATAGAGCTTTAACCCGGCGACCCGAGTTCGATTCCCGCTCACGGCCACCACCAGTGACGGCAATATTGAACCGGTCCTGGGCCTCCCCTAGGTCGACTCAGCCTCAAACGAGTAACTGGTGTGCTGTGTGAACATCGCCACTGGGGAGACCAAGGCTGCCGGGTAGTAGAGCTAGTACATATATAAAACATTGTTAATTTGTGTGTGATGGAACACATGGGGTCATGGTTGGAAGAAAAAAATGGTTATCATTTAGATCAAGAATGCTGCACTCAATAAGACGAGGGCGTCTCTACAGCTCACACGTGTGCAGGGTGTAGAGAGACACTGCACTCGTTACAAGCCCAGTGAGATGAAATGGCAAGAAATTGCTTCACCTTTGCATGCCCTTACGTCCCGATTCAAGAGCCGAATGGCTCGGGACTAATACCAAATAAATGAAACTGCACTGCCCCCTGCTGTCCACTAGAAGCATGTACACATTAACATATATACACGGTATTGGTCCAGAAGACGTTAGTTTGTGTCGTGATGTATACAGTACTTACTATATCTAACCTATACATCAACACATAAAGGCTAATATAGTGCGGTACTGAACGGTTTCCACGATGTTCATTGAGAGCTCATGCCAATTACATTTGTAAATCCCAGGAGCTTAATGGGCCACAGTCTGCTGTGCTGATGAGACTCAAAGTGGAATCCATTTCATGTTTTGCTGTTGAAACACAAGACATGTGAACGTAAGATCAATGCACATGGTGATGTACGAATGGCTTCATATTTTATTTAAAATGTCAATGTATATGCTACTGAATGTTTGTGTCCCCTATAAGTTGTCACCTGCAGAACAAATCATTTTAATTTCTGCTGGGATCGTGACCGTTCGTTGTTCTGATGGTGGTAGGCATAATGATTTATCGGAAGAAGACACCTCCTACCAAATCTTGATTTGAAGCTTTCGTGACTGCAGGAATCCATACTTTTTGGTTCTTTCCGTAAAGTCACATATTTATAAATAAATTAAAATAAAATAAATCACGTTTCGATTACAACACAATCGATCATCATCAGGTGGGAAACCCACAGCGAGAATTGTTTTCCTTCCTACTGCTGATGGTGATTGATTGTGTTTCAATCAAAACGTCGTTATTTGTATTATTTTAACTAGCTGTACTACCCGGCTTCGCCCGGGACTTGTATCCACCACGGCCGGCCGCCTTTGTCTCCCCAGTGGCGATGTTAATACGCCACAGCAGTTACTCGTTTGAGGCAGAGTCGACCTAGGGGAGGTTCAAATAATGGTCACCGGTGGTGGCCGTGAGCGGGAATCGAACTGGGTTCGCCGGGTTGGTAGCGCAGCGTAGCGTTAAGCACTACACCCACCGATCCTCACACACCACACACGCACAGACACACACACAGACACACACACAGACACATGCAGACACACACAGACAGACACACACACACACAGACACACAGACAGCACGCTAAGCAGTACACTACCGCTCCCCACACACCACACACGCACACACACAGACACACACACAGACACACACACAGACACACACACACAGACACAGACAGCACGCTAAGCACTACACTTCCGTTCCCCCTACACAACACACGCGCGCGCGTCCATAGGTACACATACACGCGCTTGCTGCAGACACACACGACTTTCAGGGAGCGGCAATGCTGCGCAAGGAACGCCTTAGACCTGCAACACATTTGTGTAATGCGAGCGTAAACACACAAACACATACAAACACATACACAATACACACACACATACATGCAGACACACAGACACACACATAACACACATACACACACATACATACACAGAAACACATACACACATACATAGACACACACATACATACACACAAACACATGCATACGCGTACATACACACATACATACAGACACGCAGACATACACATAAAGACATACAAAAAAACGCACATACATACACACACACATACACACAAACACATACACACACATATGAAGTATGGGAATTGACGGCAGGAACTTCTTGACGGGTAACACACTTTTATTAAATCCTTTAGGTATCACAATACAACGTGTGGTCTTCCTTCTTCCTCCGACACACTCTACTAATCTCGTGTAAGCTCTAGGCCTCTGGCTACACACCATATACTCGACTCGTGTAAGCCCTATGCCTCTGGCTACACAATACACTCGACTCGTGTAAGCCCTATGCCTCTGGCTACACAATACACTCGACTCGTGTAAGCCCTATGGCTACACCCACTACACTCGCCTCTGGGTTACACAGAGTCCCGGTCCCCTTAGGACAGCGGGGCTAGGTACCGCAGGGCTCTAGGTCTTCATCCCCGTCTTCATTCTTCGCTGGTTACACACTGCCCTCACGCCTGTGTGCATCCCCTTTTATAGCCCCTGCTCACGAGGGACGGAGCTGATGCGGCGTCGACGTGTGCGTCGTTCCTTAATGACCCAATCACGACGCACTCTCTCTACGATCCGCTCTCCCCAGCGCGTGTTAACATTACCCCACCAATCACACTGCGCTGCCACCTAATCACTCCCTCTCAGCGCGTCACCGCCCACAGCCAATCGGTACCCCGTAACCCACGACCCCGCGCTGACCCCTGATCCTCCACCGTCAGCGCGCGTCACCACCTACACAGCCAATCATCACACACTGTGCATACGATCCTTAATCCCAGCGCGTATCACCTCTACACATACATACACACATACATACAGACACACAGACATACACATAAACACATACACACATAGACATGACCCGGCTTCGCCCGGGACTTGGATCCACGATGCCCGGCCGCCTTTGTCTCCCCAGTGACGATGTTCACACACGACAGCAGTTACGCGTTTGAGGCTGAGTCGACCTAGGGGAGGCCCAGGTCCGTTTCAAATAATCGTCAGCGGTGGTGGGCGTGAGTTGGAATCGAACTGGGGGCGCTCAACCAGCTTAATGACTATTTGTACAAAGAACATATAAAGAATCGATTATAATAAGCAGGCAACAGTCCACATTATAGACTGCCAGTACACGCACTCAGCTTCATAAGCAGGCTAGAGTGTACATGATAGAGTGGCAGTACGCTCACCGAGCTTAATAAGCAGGCTACAGTCTACATGATAGACTGGCAGTACGCTGACCCAGCTTAATGACTATTTGTACAGTGAACATTTAAGTAATCGATTGTTGGCGCGTTGGGTTTAAAAGTAATATTAATTGCACACATTGTGGTGGGGGTGGAGTGAAGAGTACGAAAAACTTTGATGAATTTACCTCAGAGTGGCGTGGTGGGTGTTGAGGCCTAGTAGCGTGCAGAGCCTGCGGCCTCGCCAAAATTGGGCACCTGGCAGAGGCAGGGTACGGGTGGCGTTCCTTCCCCCCCCCTCAGCGCTCCAACAATACTGTGTAATGGCTATTATTTAATTAATTACGGAGCCTATGAAAGTGGCGAAGGCGTGGCTAGCCGTTGGCAGGGGCAACCGCCGTCCAATGAAAGTGCAGCCCTTAGCGAAGGCGTCGCTAGCCGTTGCCAGGTCCAATGAAAGCGGCGAAGGCATCGCTAGCCGTTGGCAGGGGCAACCGGCGTCCAATGAAAGTGCGTATGGTCCGGAGACACACAGACACACAGACAGACAGATAGACAGACAGATTCGCGATTTTATATATATAGATAAATTAATGTTGGGTTTGTCTATGGCAGTATATAGTATGCAGTTTATACTTTAGTTTTTTATGTGGTTGTTTAGTAACTGCAGCTACATACTATTAACATTCCTTTCCTTTGTTAATGCTACCCCCCTTCCCCCTCCCTTTGATGCTGATAATCCTGCATAATGCACGGGCATAATATTAATTTGAAACCCCCCCGCCCACCTCCTACGCATTTTCCATATGCTAAATTCCTCTTGATATGCAAATTATTTTGTTAAGGTGCTCTTCTTCCCACCTCC